AACATGAATGTACTTAATGACACTGAATTGTACACTTAAAAATGGTTAAAATGGTCAATTTTAGGTTATGTATATTTTACCATGATAAAAAAAGAAACAATTGATTGAAGCAGAAAAATTTAAAAATAAAAAATGAAAGACTGGATAGCAGTTGAACAGTAACTCTGAGTTAATAAGCATGGAGAACAAGATGGTAGTGGTAAGTCTGAGAGATTTGAGAATTTGATGGTTGGTAAAGCTAATACCAGGGTCATAGACTCTGTATTCATATGGGCCTATCAGTGTTCTCTAGTGCCTGGGCACTGACTGCTCCATTACTCTGCGTTGAATACTGTATGAATGCGTGGTTTGGGTCCAAGGAAGATGGGAGGGAGCATGAATACCACAATGTAACTGTATCAATGCTCCTCAGAAATAAAATAAATGCCTTATGACAATGAATCAGGAGATTGTGTGTGTGTGTAACATAAAGGCTATTCATTTATGGCAATAATAAAACCATGGGGTATAAGTCTAAGAACAATAAATCAAAGGACTGGCCATTTTTGTGGAAAAAGTCCTAGATTAGGGCTTCTGGATCTAGAGAACTAGTTCTCTCTCTGCCTTAACTGCTTGACCTTGGACAAGTCACTTACCCTGCCTGAATCTCAGTTTCCTAAATTGTCCTTCATTTCCATCCAAAATAAGGAAGCTATTCATTATATTTCTATTTTTCAGTAGTTCTCTTTAAAATTTGAAATTCATATTGTTAATTTTGTCTAAAATTGATCAGTATCTCTATCTTCGGGGCTGGCACTGTTGCTAGCCAACCCAAAGGTTAATCTTCACGTCTTCGTTGTCATAGGGTTTGAAAATGCCAGATGCTCACTTTGCCAGTCTGTTTTCCATCAAGAACATAAGCATGTGACAGAATCCTCACCCATGGGACTGAGGGGGAGTCTGCTGGATGGGAAAGGTTTTCTACCTGGTCTACCAAAAAAGAGACATGTGAGAAGCAATGCCACTGTTCCTCCTCTGTGTCACCCTTTCCAGTCAGATACTGTTATGTCTGCAGCGCCCATCTTGCAGTCATGAAGCGACAAATTGAAGAACGAAGTCCTCAGTCTTCTTAGGGCTGTTTTCAACTTCCAGACCATTATATGTTGAAGTGCCTCAGCCCTCAGTCTTCAGAGCTCTTCTATTCTCTATCTACACTCCCCAGGTGTTTTATTTATTTATATTCCATCGCTACAGTGGTGAATCCCAATAACTCGACACACTGACAGCTCAGTATATCCAACTGTCCAGTAGGCATCTAGGACTAGTTGTCTAAGGGCATTTCAAATTTAACATTATTTAAAACTATACTTTATTTTCCTCTTAAAATTGCTTTTCTTACTCCTTTTTCCATCTTAGTAAATGGTCTGGCCAAAATGGTTTGGCCAAAATCTTGAGTCACTCTTGATGCTTTTTATTTATTTTTTTTTGAAATTTATCATCTACATCCAATCAATCAGCAAATGCCTCTTGGTTCCACTTCTGTTACTACCATGTTTGTCCAAGCCACTATCAACTCTCACCCATATTATTGCAACAGATTCTACATCAGTTAAAGATTGAAACTGGCTACGAGGAAATTGTTCACTGAGTACTCTTTTTCTTTGGACTAGCATTGTTCAGGTAGTAGAGGGTACCTAATACCATAATGGAATCAACAAGTCTAAGTTCTCTTTTCCAGCATAATCACAAAATCTTTGATTGGATCTTTGATTGCTTCTCTTTCCTAACACAACTCTTCTTCCCCGGACCTTTGTGATTAAGAGTGATGAATGCCAGGCCCACTTCTCATTTTTCCTGAAAGATTGCACCTAATTCTTAACATTGCTTCACCAGGACAGGCATGTGACCTCCCATTTCTCTTTCCAAATATACAGTGCTCCAAAGGGTGTGGCTGGAGACTGTTTTGGTTTGACTTGGTATCTCCCACCTGTGATAAACCTGAGGGAATCTGAAATTGCAAGGAGCAGCAGGCAGCCACAGCCTGACCCTTGCTTGGCCCCTCACAGAGCTGAACACTGTGGCACTCATTAAATATTCAGCAATCTATTCCCAGTTTAAAACAAACAGAGGTGATCTTTTCAGACGGTCTGGTGCGTCTGCATTACAACTGAAGAATGACTTCCCTGCCTCATTAAACATTTAGGCGACTTCTTGGCTTCGTGCAGCTGCCTATCATGGTGACAGCAGATAGAATGCAGCAGCGTAGGCTCCCTTTAATGCAGGGACACTTTTATCATATTCTTACTGATGATCTTTGCAAAGATGACAGGAGCGAGATGGAAGCACCAGGAAGATAACCAAATGCTCTAATTTCCAGAAAATTGGACACGTTCTCAAGAAACAAGCGTTAGAGCTATCTAATAGCGAGGATGCTTAACAATAGCATTATTACCCTTCATTTCAGCTTTGAAATGCGTTCTCTCTTTCTCTGTAGTCTTGATGAAAGCTTGAGCGAGTTCTAAGGGCTTAGCTGAAACCTTTCCTAAACTTGTGCTAATAGTCATACTAATAATGACCTAAAACACACTACAAATTTAAGCTCTTCTGATACCTTTAGGTTGTTCCTTTGCCTTTAGAGCTGTTTGGCTCTCCTAAAATTTACCATCATTATTTCAAGATTATTATTTTGTCATATTTATTGTTTCAAGAGCCCATCTATGATTTTAGTTGTCAACTGCTGCTTTTGTAGCATATATTCAAATGTCCCCAAGTAAGTGCTGAGTGCCCTGGGAATTCAAAGAATCTGCGTTCCCACTGAACTATTGTAGTTTAATAATAACAAAAATAGTAACTATTGTATATTTGTGAAGTGCTTTAAATTTGTGCTCACTTTTTAGAAAAATTTACGGGACAACTTTGCATTTTTCTTCCACCCCTAAAACCAGTGAAAATTTTAGAGATATTAAATATGAATTCATTTTAAATATGAGGCCTCAAATTATTTTGTTTTCCTTTCACTTTGTCATTTTTGTGTCACAGATATTTTTCACATTCTTCCTATATTTAAAGTATGTGGCAAGAATTTTCGCTGACCCAGCTCATGTGCCTACGTTTTCAATAAAATCCCAATTCTCCACTTTCTTTTGTGGTCTTGCATTTTACTTTGTTGAGTCTTACTTCAGACTCTCTGGGTTGTCAGATCTGAATGGCTAGCCAGAACACCAATGTATGGAGACAAAATATCCAGAATCAGTGTCCCCCCTCCTGGACAGGGCTGACTAACCCTCGTGCACCTGGCCCCTTGACTCACCTTGTTTCTAGACTTTGGGTGGAACAAGTTTCCTAAACATATTACTCCTTGCTGCATAATTACGGCCCAATGGAGGACAGTCCATTGGCCATATTCCAGGCCCAGAGTTGTACCCTGGTCACCATGATAGAGTTTTGCCAGCCCCCTGCACAGGATGTGAAATAAAAGACCGTTAGGTGTTTATTTAAATGGATCTATTTTAATTTCCATGTTCCTAGCATCATTTTCCCAATGAATATTTGGGGTGCTCATTCTAAATTTTGCTTGGTTTCTCCCACTAGACTTATTAGCTTCCCTCCAAAGTTGCCTTTTCTAGTTCTTGACTCCCTCATCTTCTTTCTGAAAGGATTTATCAAATCCTTTTGGATCCAATACTTAGTAATGTCAACAATTACTGGATCCAATACTTAGTAATGTCCACGGTCTCCAGGTTTGAGTGTTCTTGCCAGCTCTCCTCATTCATTTTGCTCTCCTTTGGTCACTGCTCTCTGTAGACCCCTTTCTGCCTTCCATCTGTATGAAAATTCTGGGAATAAAAAGTGTGGCCTCAAGTTTCATAGCACAATAGCAACCTTACTCTCCGTTTATCTGGTTTCCAAAGCACATGTCTATGCTCTCTCAGCGGCTTAGAACGCCACGTAGCGCTGTAGCCAGGTTCTGTGCCAGCTCTGTAGTCTATTCCTGACTCCTGTCCACCATGCTGCTAACAAAGCGTGGCCTAGCGAGGTGCCATTCAGTCCGCGGGCCTTGCTACCACTTCGACCTCCTCCACTTGGTCAGAAGCCAATGGACTTGAACCATGATGATGTGGTCCAAAGTGGTTTTATTAGGGATCATTAGGGGAAAGATTCATGGAAGCCTCTTCTGCACTGGCTGTAAACCAGCTATTAGGGCATTTTCTAGCACATGGCTCAATGTTGCCTATGTGGAGTCACTTGTGAGAAGTGTCCTTTACGACCCACCCTTAGTACTTCTTAGCACTTTGTTTTCCATTGTTTCGCAGTTAATTGTGTAGCTACTCATCCCCTCTCTGCTCTCTCACTAGATGGTAAAGTCCTGACTTGCAGGCCCTGACTTAACTCATCTGTACCGTGCTGACAGCACTGTGCCCTAGAAGGAGTTGAATACAATGTGTGTATAAGGAATTTCACAAACTATTTCATAGAACTGTGGTTGAGGAGGCTCAGAATCTTTTCTGGGTGGTGATGAACTACTAGGTAGCAAAAGACCTTTCTGCAGCTGAGAGAGGTCTGAAAATCTTCTGAAGTTCTTATAGCACAGGATGTATTGTCTTCTGAAATTGTACTGAAAGGAGAGGAGACTGCGCGTGTTTTGATCCAGTCATCTTAGGATATACACATACGCATGACCAACAAGCAGGAGTTGAGGTGGTAAAGCAAAAAGCCACATACATGGTTTGCTTCGCCCTTAACTACCCCGCTTCTCTCTGTGTTCCCCCCAGGTTCCCAGGTTAAGCTACTCTTTCCAGGGAAACTTTTCAGCCCCATTTCATCAGGAGAGGAAATGTGAGGCGGAGAAACTGTTACAGGAAGAGGTTTTTTTCTGAACAACATGTATGTTCTTGCAAATATATTAAAGTACAGATTTTCATTTTCTGACTAGAAATATCTGGTTTGCCTAGAGGGAGGATTAGGAGTGCCACAGCAGGAATCCAAAAACAAAGATTCAATATCCTGCCTTTCCCATCTAGAGTACAACTTCTGGGACTGCGGAAGAGCATTTGTTTTGAAAGTCAAGCTTTGTGGATGGAGAATGTCCTTAGCACCTACTGAGAGCTGTCCTGTGGACCAGATCATAATAAAGGTAGGGATAGAGAGAAATCAGCCTCTGACATAGGGTAGGTGGCGTGTGTGAAAGAGGAGGGAAAATGGAGGGACGGAGGCTGGCAGTGAGACACGTGGACTCTAACCGCCCTCCTTTGGGCGGATGTCCATGGTAAATAGGTGGAGACAAAAGCAAAGGGCCTTGTGCCCTGCACCCCTTCAGATCCCTAGGAGGTTGGCACATCCAACTGGCTGGCTCATCTGCCATGGCGCTTCCCTGAAGAAGTGGGCTTGACACATGGGCGCCGAGGCAGCTCCCAGCTCTCCACAGCCTGCAGGAGGTGTGCAGGGAGCCAGAAGTCCTTAAGGAGCCCACTGAAGAAATTCAGAGATTCTGGGAGGACAGAGAACTATTTGGAGCCTGAGGTCAGGATGAAGAAGCGGCAGAGTGAGGAAACACTGGAAGCACCAGGCTGGAGTCAGGTTGTAGACAACCGAATGATGTTCCCAGGGGGCAGGTGATGGGCCTGTTGAGCCCCAGCAGTCAACAGTGTAGGTCACAGAGCAGACCTTTATTGTGTGGAGGCCTGGGACCTGGAGGGAAGGCGGAGACAGGGACACCAACTAGAGGAGACGACTGTCCTTAGACAGGGAAGGCACTGGTTCAGTGAATCCAGGGGGAACATAATAGCCCTGTGAGGTACGGTGTGGTTTTATGTTGTGGCTAAAGAAGCTGCAGCTGCTAAAGTTGAGGGTAATTTACCCAAGTTCATCCCGGGACTAGCAGACTCAGGGCGAAATTCAGCGTTTAACTCCAGCAGTGCATCCAGGTGCTCAATGTCACTTTCTCTGCTTCTTTGAAGCTTTTTGGTTTCTACTTTTAGTTGTCTTGTTTAATTTTGAACGATGCCCAGAATTCTTCCAAGATACACACTCCAAACGAATAAAATGCAGTGTGGTTTGTGCTGTGGTAACGACTCGATCAATTACCTTTTAATAAAAATGCTGTAGTAATCCCCAATGAAAAGCTCCACACCGGATAAAAGTGGCAACTGGAGGAACCGCTGCCTAGTTTTCCCTGTTGATTTGATGACTCCCTCATTTAGAGCTTATTGGATTTACATTTTAGACTCCAAACTCAAAAGGAAATAGTGAAATGTAGCAGAATGTTGAATTTTCAAATGTATCATACTTGATGCACTTTCCATTTTTCTGTGTTTTGCATATAGTCAGAGGCTATGATAAAGATCTAGCTTAATAGTTATAATAGTTCCCTCATTAATTATCCCAAACAGAAAGTGTTACCAAAAGAAACTTCATTCCTTAATCAGGATTTTGTCATAATTTAAGTTTTTCTTGAGAGTTAAAAAGATATACATTTGTCACAAGGAAAAACGAACAAAGGAAGAGGTGGTGAAGGCATTAGCTCTCGGCCGGAGAAGGAGGCATCTACGTTGCCTGCGGTTCTGACCCGGAGCCGGGAGCGGAGGGAGCCAGGTAGTTAGTTCCAGCCTATCACAGGCCAGAACGTATTGACTTGAGGTTCCCCATCTCTTTCTGCCAGCATTTCCCCCATACTTTCAACTGCACAACCTGCAAGACCAGAGTGGAGGGAGGTGCATGAATATGTGTTCACATTATATATTTAATTGGGTTTAAAATCTCATCAGTGTTCTATGTATTTTGCCTATAAATACGAGGCGAAGGGTTACTGTTGGGAATTATGCTGAGATTTACGTAAATTGGACATAGAGGTTTGGGAATGTCTTGACCCCTATGAAAGTATAATAAACTTGACTTAATAATTGCTTGAGTTTTTGAAATGACTTAACTTTTATTTAAATTTGAAAATATTGGGAATGACTGAAAAGGCCTATTCAGCACTGGAACTGACTGTATTTGTCTTTCAACCTTGGGTGCCAACATGAAGTGGAGCGTTTCCTGTACTCCACAGCCAGGCACGCTCCCTGGCCTGGGTTTTAACATATGGGGACCTGAGCTTGGTAAATGGCTTTGCTGGACACTGCACTGGTTGGAATCTTTAAAATAGGACAAGAAGACTGCATATCATGATTCCAAAAGGATTATACCCATGTCACTAGGGAGTTAAATTTAATGAGTTTTAGGAAATAAAATGACCACCTTTCTTAAGAAAAACCATAACATTCTTGTAATATGTGCAAATTCAACAGATGTTAGAATATGTCAGCACTTCTAATCTAACTGGTTTTTAAATTTGATGTAATTTTAAATAAATTTAGGTACATATAATAATTATGGCAGGATTGCAACAGCATTACAGGAATTTTTAAACTAGAGAAAATGTTTTTCATGGCTCCCCCTGAGAACTATCATTTTGGTGTCTAATCAGTGATTCCTCAGCTGACCCCCCATATCTGAATCACCGGGGAACCTTGTTACAGGGCAGATCCCAGGTTCTGCCTCTGAGTCAGAATCTCTGTGGGTGGGATCCTATGGATTATATTTTTAACAAGCTCCCCAGTTGGTTCTGATTTGCAGGTGGGAGATTAACTTGTTCAGTTCCCCAGGGGATCATTTTATCACCAGTTCATCGGAAGGGCCCATTCCAGGCTCTGAGGCATAGATCATCTCTGCCTAATTGCAGTGGGGAGCCACGAAAGGCTCAAAGCTGGAGGTGACCTGATATTATTTGCTTTTAAAGCTCACTCTGGAGTTAATGAGTAGATAGAATTTGAGAGGAGCAAGACTTGGGGTCAGGGAGACAATGATGAAACATGGTGAGGCTGGAGAGAAGTGGACACAGATGAGGTATATTTAGGAGGTAGAACTGGTAGAACCTGGTGATGACCGGATTTAAGAAGGTAAAACAAGACCTCTTCCAGGCGTAGGAAACTGGTGAGAACTGTTCATTGAGATAGGAAACACATGATCCTTATTTGTATATGTTTTGTATTATAATTTGTCTCAAATACTTTTCTAAAAGGTGGCATGTAAATATGCATTTTAATGTAGGCAAGATATAACTTGTTAAATTATAAGGTAATTTTCAAGAGGGAAAAGTAGTAATTTTACAGTGGAGAAATCAGGCAGACACCACCGTAACCAAGTGATCCAAATTAATGTCACCAGGAATAAGACATATCCGCCATGTACCCTCCAATTATGCACTGAGAAGGGCACAACATCACACTGGGGGCACTCTTGCCAAAAATGCATAACCTCATTCTAGTTATGAGAAAACATTAGACAAACTGAAAATGAGGGACAGACTACAAAACAACTGGCCAGTCCTCTTCAAAGGTGTCAATGTCATTGAAAGGCAAGGAAAACCTCAGGCACAGTCACAGTCTGAAGGAGGCCTGACAACTAAATACAGCGTGGGACCTGGGGCAGAAAGGACACAGTTAGTGGAAAAGCTGACTAAATTTAAATAAGGTGTGTAGGTGAGTTGACAGTACTATATCAGTGATAGTTTCCAGGTTTTGATCATTGTACTATGACTATGGAAGATGTTAACATTAGGGCACATGGGTTCTCTCCGTACTATTTTAGCAACTTCTATGGACTTCTAAACTACAAAGTTAAAAAATGACAAGCAACATTCATTTTTGCAACATTTAAAAAAATTAGTAAAAGACACTTTTTCTAAAAGGTGTATACAAGCTCCTGGGATAAAAAGCAAACAAAAAACCCATTGGTCCTTGAAACAATGTGGTAATATCTGTGTGAACTGGTTTTGGTTCCTGTGTGTCCTCCTTCACCAGTTTGGGCTGGTTAGGGCTGCAAAACCTCTGTATTTTCACCACCTTGATTGTTGCTCTCAGCTGAAGCTCTTGACATTGTGGGATTGCTGCTGGTCAACGCCTGCGTGACACGTGAGGCCACGTAACAACACTCCTGGGCTGAGATGCTGAGAACAAGAGGAAGAGGTAGGCAGACTGCCTGCAATGTCTGCTCCCTAGTGTTCCTGCTGGAATCCTGACTTTCCAGAACCTACCTCCCTCCTCCGACCACTGTCTCCCTTACCAAGTAAATCCAAAGCTCACCTTACCCACACGTCATCCCCAGAGCCTTGCTATTTCTAGGAAATAGCAAAATCATCTCAGAAGTTCAGGTGTTAACAAATAGCAAAGCCCCTCCCACTGTTCTCCCCTCTCAAAACACACTTGCATTTAACAACTATGCTGATGGGCTAGAGGGAATTTTACTCTCAGGGCAAGACCACGTAGCAGAGCTGGGGCGTTCCTGTTCCTCTCAGGTACGTGCAATTTCTGGGGACTGAGATGGCAGGGAACCCTGCGTGTTCTGGAAAAGGCCATTAGCGGGGCCAACCCCTCAATGTCCCGGGGGAACTAACGGGACCTTCATTGTCTGTGTTCACTTCTGTCATTTCCCCCAGAATTTAGAGTGGTTATGTTTTGATGTGACTTTGTTTTCAGGTTAACCTCCATTTGACTGCCTCTTTCAAATGGCTGGAAGCTCTTGCCTTTGATACTTACGAAAGCCTTTAATATTTTGGAATCAGAGAACAGTTATATTTTCATTGCCAACAAAATGTATTATATCACTTTCTAAACCACATATTACCATTACAGTAGTTTGTGTACAATTCCTAAGGTTATTTGGTGTAACTCTATAAACGGCGACCACGGCCTTTCCTCTTGAATGGTAGAGAAAACGAGAGCTTTCTTAGTTACCCAGCGTGAGGAGCCTTTGTGTCTCCTCATTGCCTTCAGCTGCTGCAGCCAGGCCTCTGCAGGAGGCCCTGAGCTCCTGAGCAGAGAAACCAGGACATGGTATCAACAGTCTGATCTACAGGAGCAGACTCAGGGGAGACGGACGGCTGTGTCCTGAGCAGTGAACTCTGACACAAGAACCGCGGCTCAAAATAGTCCTCATCCTCTTTGCCTGAACCTGATAAAAAAAGCTTTAATCTCAATTGCTCCCTGTCACCTGCCTTTTCTACTTGACATTGCAGTTCTCCAGGTGGCTATTCCTGGATGGGGGGTGGGGGTGGGGGCGCGCGCACATCCAGAGATTCATTTGTTCCTTTTTATTTTACTACAAGAGTTTATTTTGACAACTTTACTGAGGCATAATTCACATACCATAAAACACACCCATTTCAAGTGTGCAAGTCGTTTTTTGTAAATTTACCAGGTTGTGCAACCATTACTGTAATCCAGCTTTAGAACATGTCATCACCCTAGTAAGATCCCCAATTATAATAGTTAAGCCTCATTTCTACCCCTCAATGCCAGGCAACCTCTTACTTATGTTCTGTTTTTATAGATTTGCCTTTTCTGACATTTCATATAAATGGAATCAGTCATCCATGTCTGGCTTCTTTCCTTTGGCAAATTGTTTCTGAGGTTCATCCGTAGATAATAAGGTAGTTTGAGGTAGTAGGTCAGAATTATTTTGGGGATGGTGGGTTTTTGCTGCCCTAACCCCCAAAGTCCTTAAAGGTGCTAAGACCATCTGCTCTTCCAGTCGGACCTCCTGCTCTTCTTCATGGCTTCCTACAGCCAGTTTTGCACACGGTTATTGGGTCTGACCCTGTTCTTTCCCTGCCCCGCCTCTGAGCCGCCCTGCCCTCTGCAGTCTGTCCCACCATGCTCAGGTCTTTGTTCAAAACTTACTTCCATAAAGAGGTCCTCTTTGACCTCTTTGGCTAAATAACATCCCCTGTTGTGGACTGTTCACTTGCCCTGTGCCATGTTTCTTCACAGTGTATTAATTCCTGAAATTATATATCCTGTTTATTGTCTTTAAAAAAATTGAGGGGGTGGGCCGGCCGAGTGGCGCGATGGTTAAGAACTCGCTTGGGATGCCAGAGGGCCCCGGTTCGGATCCCACATATGAGGGCCAGTGACACTGCCCTCCACAGCTAAGATGCTGAACAACAGCTCAACCTGGAGCTGGGCTGCCATGAGTCGCCGGCGACGGCGTGGGCTGCAGTCCCTGTGGCAGTGGATTGCCATGGGCTACCGTGTGTGGCCAGCAGCCAGCGTGAGCGGCCAGCAGCCGCAGTGAGCGGCCAGCAGCCGCAGTGAGCGGCCGTCCAGAAGCCGGCGACTGATCTGCCTCGCCAGAGAAGAGCGCAATGATGGTGCCAACTTGGGCCAGTGAAGCAACGTCCTCCACAACTAGACTGAAGAACAAAACGACAGCAACTTGTCTGTTCCCCTTTCCCCAATTCCCCAGCACTGTTCCCATCCCCCCAATTTCCCAATAAAAATCTTTAAAAAAAAAAAAATTGAGGGGGTGAATTAGTTAACATGTATTCAATATTTCTTTTTTTTTTCTTTTAATAAATAGAAAGTAGCAAAGGAAAGGTGACATGCATTCTTTTGTCTGCTCCTGGACACATGCAGTTACTTTTTCTCCTCCCAGCAGCCCACCCACCTCCCGTTTGGCAGCCATGAGCTTGTTCTCGATAGCTGTGTGTCTGTTTCTGTTCTGTTTCGTTTATTCATTTGTTTTGGTTTTTTCAGATTCCACCTATAAGTGAAATTATACAGTATTTGTCTTTCTATGTCTGACTTATTTCACTTAGCATAATACCTTCTGGGTCCATCTATGTTATTGCAAATGACAAGATTTCATTCTTTGTTATTGCTGAATAATATTTCATTATGTCTGAGATTTTATATATATATCTCCACTCATTTATTGATGGATATCTACGTTGCTTCCATATCTTGGCTATTACCAGTAATGATGCAATGAACATTGGGCTGCCTATTTTTGTTTGAATTCATGCTTTTGTTTTCTTTGGGAGGAGGGAGGGCAGAAAAAAGATTGTCTTTAACTTTTGATGTTTTAATTGTGATGTGTCTTGGTGTGGGCCTCTTTGGGTTCACCTTGTTTGGGACTTTCTATGCTTCCTGGGCTTGAATGTCTGTTTCTTTTACCAAGTTAGGGAAGTTTTCACAGGGCAAGTGAACAGTCATTTTTTTCTTTGAATAGGTTTCCTGTCCCTTTCTCCCTCTCTCCTTCTTCTGGGAATCCTATAATGTGAATATTAATATGCTTGCAGTTGTCCCAGAGGCCCCTTAAACTCCCCTCATTTTAAAAAATTATTTTTTTCCTTTTGTTCTGATTGGGTGATTTCCACTACCTTGTCTTTAATGTTGATTTGTTCTTCTGTATCATTCTAATCTGCTATTGATTTCCACTAGTGTATTTTTTAAATTTCATTTATTGTATTCTTCAGTTCTGAGTGGGTTTTAAAAATATTTTTCTATCTTTGTTGAAGTTCTCACTGTGTTCATCCATATTTCTCCTGTTTGATGAGTATCCTTATGACCATTAATTTGAATTTTTTATGTGGTAGTTGCTTATCTCTGTTTCATTTAGTTCATTTTCTGGCTTTTTATCTTGTCCTTTGGAACATATTCTTCTGTCTCCTCATTTTGCTTAAGACTGTGTGTTTGTTTCTGTGTATTAGGTAGATCAGCTATATCTCATAATATTATAAGAGTGGCCTTATGTAGAAGATGTCCTGTGGGGCCCAGTAGTGCAATTTCCCCTGGTCACCAGGGCCAGATATTTTAGAAGTGCCTTCTGTGTGGGCTGCATGCACCCTCATGACTCTTGTGGATACTCTGTAGGATGGGACTGGCCCCGGCCCAGCTGTCTGTGAGGCCCCAGGCCTAACTGCTGTGGGCACACTGGGGGGATGGGTTGGCCCTTGGCTGTGAGGCTGGTCTGTAATGGCGATGGGCATGCTGGTGTGTGGGACGGAACCCTGGCATGGCTGGCTGAGGGGTTTTGCTGCGACTGCTGCTGGCATGCTGGTGTGTGGGGTACACCTTGGGTGTGGGTGGCTGTGAGGCCTGGCCTCTGCTCTTGTGTGTTGGTGTGCAGGGGCTGGTCCCTCAGTGCCCTTTGGGGTTGCTTTAATGCCACCTGCTGGGTGCTGGGGGTGGAGTACTGCTTTGGAGGCTTGCTGGGTGCTGGAGGGGCAGGGCACCACTTTCAAGGCCCACCAGGTGCTGGGGGGCGGGGTGCTGCTTTGGAGGCCTGCTGGTGCTACTTGCTGGGTGCTGGGGGGCGGGGGGTGTGTGTGCGTGCACGGGATGCTGCTTTAGAGAGTGGCTGGGCTGGATGAGCCCTTGGGGGAATGTCAGGAAGGGTGAATACTTAGCAAGTTAATGGAGAGTGTGAGACTTGGTGCCCACCAGTGGGGACCAACTGGGTAGAATGAAATAAAACAAAAAAAGAATAATGCCCTCCAGTGCCTGCATCCCCAGAGAGACCTCCAACAAATTCCTCTGGCATGTACCCTAAAATTAGTCAATGTATCTCCTTCATGTATGACCCAGGTGCCTTTCAAACAGGTCTCTGCACTGACTCAGAGTGAGTGAGTTTGTGCAAGAGCCCATTAAGCAAGGATTCTTGGTTTTCCACTGGCCCTCAGTTCTCCGGGATGTAAGCTTTGCTGGTTCTCACCACCAGATATTATGGGGGCTCCTCTGTCTCATGCAGGTCCCCCAACCTGGGGAGCCTGATGTGGGTCTCAAATGTCTTGCTCTTCCAAGGGGCTTACTGAGGTTTTGCTATCCCTCCTGGTTACTGGACTCTGTACTGCTGCCCCTCATGCCATCTCGGTGTTTCTTTTCCTTTATATCCTTCAGTGTAGAGAATCTGTTCAGGTTGTTCTCAAAGACAGTTGTGCTCTCTCTATATGTACAGTTGTCGTGTGGCTGTGTCGTGCAAAGAGGTGAGCTCAGGGTCTGCCTACCCTACCATCTTGACCCTCTTTACTCTTGTTGAAGTTCTTACTTTGTTCATCCATTTGTCTCCTAAGCTTGGGGAGTTTATGTTACTTTGAACTCTTTATTAGGTAAATCATTTATCTCCATTTTATTAAGGGCTTTTTCTGAAGTTTTTTTCTTCATTTGGAAAATAATCCTGCTTCTTCATTTTCCTTGATTCTTTGCGTAGGTTTCTAGGTATTAGATCAACAGCCACCTCTCCCAGTCTTGAAGGAGTGGCCTCTTAAGAGGAGAGGAAGCTTATTGTTCAACCTGGCCTAGCACATGTTGTCTCTCAAACCTTTTGACTGTCCAAGCAGCCTGCTTTATTCTTAGTGGCTCCCAGTAGTGGAGGGTGTACCCAGACCTGTCAGTGTCCCAAAGGGATAAGATCTCAGTCAGCACCTAAATGCAGGCTGATATAAAACCAGATCCTCAGGCAATAGCTTTTGAAGTATGCGAATATGCTTTTTTCAGGGGAAGACTGGGAGATGGGCATTTCTGTCTGCTCCCTCTACACCGAGCCCTGGGGTAATAGCTAGTTAAGAACTATTTTTTTTGTTTGCTACTGTCCCATTAACACAAGAACAGAAGCCCTGAACACAGGCCCCACTAGCCACCAGTCATGTGCACAAGTCCCTTTCTGGAAAATACCAGCAACCTGGAGCAAGGGAGAGGGGGAGTGAGTGGATGGCTCCCACTGGCCCCTGTGGTCTTTGGAGAATGCTTTAGTAGGCCTCCAGATGTGTGTTAAATTAGAAGCCTGGCTCTCACGCCAAAGCTTTAAGATGAGCCAATAGGCGTCTTTCACAGAAAGACTGGGAGCTTTTCCGTGGCTGCCTCTCTGCTGAGCCCTCGCGGGAAGCCAGGTGAGTCTGTGTAAGCCCTTTAACAACTGTCTCTTGGGGGGGTGAAAGGGGTGAAAGTGGTCAAAATATACAAATTTCCAGTTATAAGTTAAGTTCTGGGGATATATACAGCATGGTGTATAGTTAATAATACTGTATTGTATATTTGAAAGTTGCTAAGAGTAAATCTGTAAAAAACAGAATTCTCTACATTCTTACAGTTTTTTCTTTATTTTTCAAATTGAAAATGTAATCAGACTGCAAAAAAACCAAAACAGAACTTTATCAGTTTGCTTGTGTGGATCTCATGGACGCAAGCCCCACTCACTTTCAGAGTTTTGGGGTCTTGTCTCTCAGAGGCAGGTTTTCAAAGCTGGGGTTCCAGATGTGGGTCCAAACCTTTCACTTCTCAGGGAGAAGCTCAGTTGTGAGTTCCCTCGACTGCGGGTGGCTGTCTCAGCCTCCCGTTTCAATGTGGGTTTCTTCTCTTTTGCCCAGTGTACAGGAGTTTCTCATCTAGTTTTGGGGTCTTTCAGAGGACATTGTTCTGCATGTAGTTGTAGATTCAGTGTGTCCTTGGGAGATGAGTTCTGGATCCTCCTGTGTCACCATCTTGAACCAGAACGCTCTTGTTTATCCCGTTACTAGCCTAGTGGGCAATAGTGTCGTCTTCAGGGTCCAGCCGTGAGCGTTCCTGCCCTGCCTGCCCACTTCCTGGCTGGGGAACTTGGGTCTCTGCCAAACAGGGTAAGGGTAGCACATGGTTTATAAGGTTGCTAGAGAATAAACACATCCACACAGAGAGCTTAGAGCAGGTTGGCACAGGGGCCTCAGCAACATAACTTACTGTCTCCTCTCTCTGGAGTGCCAGCTTCATGACGGCAGGATATTTTTCTCTGCACCCCCAGCCCCTAGAATATGAATGGATGCAGAATATGCCTAAATGTTCCTTATTCACTGGCCTCGGCCCTCAGTCCATTGGCCTGACCGCTCCTTCCAGTCTGACCTTTGCTTTTTTTACAGCCCCCCTCACAGCGTTCCCACCTATCCTTAATTCACCTTTGAGTCTTTGTAACCCTTCTGGGTACTGGCTATGTGGTCTGCCCTGGGAACTCTCCAAGGCTGGTAAAATTGTCTGATAAATATGGAGAGATTGGTTGATGGACTTTCTTAGTTAAAATTTAAACTTCCAAACTAGCAGTAGCATTTGTGTGTAACTGCCCAAGGTTTAGTGGGAGTATTAGGAAACATGACTAATTGCAGAGTTTTACAATATTCCATGTGTGTACACATTAAACATCATAAATGAGGTGTCAAATGCTCTGTAGCATGCTCAGCAAAGCCCAATGATGAGGCAGTCAGGCCATCTGTGCAACATTTGCAACTTCTTTTTCAAAATATCATAGACCAACTTGAGATAGAACAGAGGGGCAAAGCACAGGACACAGAGGAAGGTGGCATCTAACACGGAAGATACCCTCCGATCTAGGAAGGAGCCCAACCTCAAATCTTAATTCCGATGTTTAAGGCTTTAAAATGCTAACTTTAGTTTGTGGGCCCAGTTGTCCAGCTAAAGTCTATATATGAAAATTATCTTGGGAAAGAGAGAACTCACATTGGTGGCCAATTGTGTGCTAGACCCTTATAGGTGTATTACTTTGTAATTCCTCATGATCACCAATTATACTAAACGAAAGTTGGGATTTGAACCTGGGCCTGACTTGTCCTGAAGCTCAGATCCTGCACGCTGTATTTCCACTCTCCGCTGTGAAGCAGGAGACCTCAGTGGGAAGTGTGGCTGGATTCTGTGCAAGCTTGAAAAAAAACTGGGCCAAGTGGGTACAGCTCAGCTGTGTGTACCTCAAATGACGCACCTGGTCTAGGAAAAAGGCGTCCTTTTGCTTATCTATGCAAATACATTTATTTCTAATTTTTTTCTACCATGCTGGTCTGCAGTTACATGGCATTTTAGCTGGTGTTAGCATCTCTCTGAGTAGATGATGTCCTGTCTGCATGCACTACTGGCTCGTGGCACACTCTTTCTCTGGGGGTTATAGTGATTCGTACGTTCAATGACAGCTGCATTATATACAGTGCTTATCTGAACAAATAATATAATAATAGAAACCATGATTCTGGAAGAGAAAAACCAAACCACGTAGCCACCTTTCAGCTGTGCTCGGTAGGTAGTGAGTGCTTCACAGAAAAGAGTGGCTAATTGTACACCATGATTCAAGAGGCAGAGAGAACTCTAAAGACAAGCACAAATATTTACAATTTGGAAAACAGGACTTACGTGGAAAAGTACAAGTTACTGGAATAATGAAGTAATCTTGTAAGCTTTCTTTTTTAAAGGTTAAGATACTTCATACAAAATAGATATTTTCCTTATATCTGATAAAGCAAGACAAAGAAGAAACTGTTTTCTTCTCAGAAATTAGATCATTTCCCAAACTGATGTCCAAAGGAACAGTGTTTCAAGAGATGTTAAAAAAAAAAAATCTTTTTTTTTTTTTATATACAATAGTTTGATGAATGGTATAGCCTCTTCTTAAGGATTCAGGGTGATGGTGGGGGACCCAACATGTTCTTTTTTTTCCTTTTTAAATATGACTATATTTCCAGGAAGTGGTCTATGGGAGAAAAACAGCTTGGGAAATGCTGAAATTTCTGATTGTAAGATAAGTTTAGATAAATATATCTGTTTGGATAGTTCACTCATGTGGTCTCTTAGTTTTATATCTTCAGTACTTGATTTCCAGGAATACTTTGTAACCAGATAGTTGAATAATCTTTAGTTTCTGGTCCACTGATTTTTAAAAGGAGGCATCCAAACCAACAGAGCCCCAGATCAGATTATCAGCTGACTGGGCAGTTAACTCATCGGACGGTTAATTCATTGGGCGGTTAATTCATAAGACGGTGAGGTACCTCTAAAAGCTTCATCGCCCATAAACAAGGAAGCCGGAGTGGATGGACGCAATTGCTTTCCGGAGCTCACATTCTAGGACTCGACGGCTTGGAAAGCACCGTGTGTGGAAGGGCGAGCTGCTTCTTCCTGGAGAAAAGTAGCATGACCCAGAACGACTGCGCTTCCGGAGCTGCCCTTCAAAACAAGGTCGCCAGAGATAAAGCCTCCCATTCTTAAATAACATTTATTATTGTTGCAAAGAAGTCTTTTTCATGAGACCAGTTCTCATCTTTATTTAGAGATATATTGGTTATGATTATAGAAGCAAATTTCATTGAAGTGTTAGATATGAAGTATGCCTGACTACAACTCTTAATTCATTAATCTAATACAATGTGTTGGCTGCCGTTTAGATATTTAGATACTTATCCAAACATACCTTTTTTTTTTTAAAACATGTGCCTGCACAAGGTGAAAAAGAAAAACGCCAAGGGCTTGCTAAAAAGGAGAAGCCTAAAAAAGATAAAATTATTCCCGCAGCAGTTCTGTTTAACTGTGGTCTGTGAGCGCAGGAATAGTGTTCGGGAAGCCTTCCGCCCGTGGTTTCTCAGTTTTGACGGTGTGAAAGCCCTTGAGGTTTTCTGCGGCTGTCAGGAGAGGGCACGGAATTTTTCTGTTTACTGAATCCAGTCGATGTTCACGCACCGCGCTATGAATGCAAACATGTCTGAGACTTCTTCTATCACTTTGGCCGTGGGCTTCCCGGCCCCGTGGCCTGCCTTGGTGTCCACGTGGATAAGCAGGGGGTTGCTTTGCTTTCGGCTGCGGCCCACGATGTACTGAAGGGTGGCAATGAACTTCAGGGAGTGAAGCGGGACCACACGGTCATCGTGGTCGGCAGTGAGGAGAAGCATGGACGGGTACTGGGTGTCATCTGCCTCCGGTAACTTCACATTATGCAGCGGAGAGTATCTGAAAGGCACAGGCACTCTCATGACTCTACACATCAAGCCAAGTTGTTTGTTCACTAGGATGCTCAAGGGAGACTGGGGGGCACAGTCACGACCCAGTGTCACTAGCAATGAGGACTGCAGCTAACTAGTGCGTGAGTGAGTGCTGCAGATCCCGCTTGCACCGTTGGGCTACTGGAAAGTGGGCAAAGCTGTCACTTATCTGGCTCTACTGTGGAAGGCTGTCAGGGGGCTGTTGAAAAATCCCAAGCTACATGCACGTTTATTGTCTTGAGTATTTTCATATTCTTTAGACTGACTTTTTCACTGCTGCAAAGTGGACTGACTTAAAATCCCTAATTGTGGATATAAACAGTGCAAGCCTTTCTCTTTTTGAAGAACCTGAAATTCACCATGCACAGAAGCTTTCTGCCCTTTTAGTATCTGGAAAACCTCTACTGCAGGTGCAGCATGGCAGTCTGAGGAACAGCACGGTCTTCTCTGCGCCTAGTTTCCTGTCTGCACATCTGCTAGCTCCAGCAGGGAGAAACGGCCTTTGGCCAATGGTGAGAAAGTGACTGGAGGAGTGGAGAAGGTACCTCCTGAAGTATAAGATGAGCTGCCAGGTAAGTGGATAAAAAGGGTTTTAAATATAAAAACACAGTTGAATTAAACAGTGATTAATACCAGTTAAATGAGAGAACTATCTGGATAGTTTTTCTTCACATTTTATTCAATATGGTGTCATGTTTTTCAAAGGGTTCAGTATTAATGAATATAAATCAACTGTTTTAGTAGAGTTTTATATTGGAGGTAAGCAGTTCAAGTCTGGGGTGGCTCAACTGGGTTCTCTGGTCTCTCAAAGCTGAAATCAAGGGGTCAGCAGTCTGGGCTCTTATTGGGAAATTCTGGAAAAGAGTCTTTCCAAACTCATTCAGGTTGCTGGCGGATCTGGTTCCCATGAGGCTGTAGGACTCAGGTCCTTATCGCTTTTATGGCTGTTGTTCTCAGGGTCTAGAGGCCCCCGCTCCTCCACCGTCAAGGCCGGCAATGGTGGGTCAAGTCCTTCTCATGTTTTGAATCTCTCTGACCTCCCTTTCTGCTGCATCCCTGACTCCAGCCAGAGAAAGAGCTCTGCCTTTAAGGGTTACGTCATTTCATTGGGCCTGCATGGATAATACAGGATAATCTCCTTATTTTAAGGTCTGCTGATTAGTAATCTTAATTTCATCCGCACAGGCTTTTCACAGCAGTACCTAGATTAGTGTTTAATTTAAGTACCAGGGGGCAGGAATCTTGGGCAGGGCCATCTTTAAAATTCTGCCTATCATATCTTTGTAGTTTTTGTTAAAGACCAGAGCAAAACAAGGAACAGAGATAGATATTCCTATCATTTCCCCTACTTTTGTAGTAAACTATATGCAAATATGAGACACGCGGGGAACACAAGAGTCAAACACTTATCTTTTCACAATTATGATATCAAATCGTTAACAACATATATAGGCCAGTATGAATGAAAACCTTACTTGATAAGCCATTCAAAGTGCTGTTCGCTGTCTGAGCACCCATAATCGGTGGTCCAGGCATGCCCGATGGTGTATTTATGGAACTTCAGCATGTCCATTACTCCAACTTGGGCAATAACACAGCCAAAGAGGTCTGGACGCTGATTTGCACAAGCAGCTAAAAACCAAGATAGAAAGAAAGGGGAAGCAATCCATCATTAAACACCTAAACAAACAAAACCCAAATAATATTTAGATGCTTTCAGAACGCTGTTTGCCTTTTTTCTTAGGCAGGTGGTTTATGATGGTTTCTTTTTGTGCTGTCATGACCCACAAGCTTTTTGCCCCCTCCTTCCAATATATCTGAGGATGGGATAGATATTCTCATCAGTAACAGAGATGTACTCCCTAAAGTGAATCTCAATGGGGAGGTTATTTGAAAAAATTCAAGGACTTTCAAAAAAAACCTGTGTCCCCTCCTCCCAGCCCTACTTGCTTTCACAGGTGTTAAGGGAGGTAGTTAAGGAACTTGTTCAGGATCTCAAAACTAATCTGATATAATAAATACATGTTTAGTCTTTGTCCCCATTCCTGGTACAGAACTAAAACCCTTGGAATTTCCTGAGCAATAAGGATGAGAGAAGTGTGTGTTATAATTCATAACTAGCCTTTTTCAACTATACCTGAGTTTATGCTAATGGTGTGACTTCTGGGCCCCAAGATAGCTTCAGGATGAAGACCAGTTGCCAGAGGAACCAACCGTGTGATTAGAGGGTTGGCACTTTCAGCTTCCCCCACAACTGACTCTCTGCACCCATAGCATTTAGCATCACCCAGTGTAGTCAACAGATATTTAGTGATCACATCTTACAAGTTCTGAGTAACACAATCAGAGGGGTTATCAGGCTCAGTCCTGTGCTGGCTGGACCCTAGAAACCTGTGGGTCCAGTTTGTGGGGAGAAGGGTCCCAGACAGCTGGGGAGAGAACTGCAGTCCAGCCAGGAAGAGCTTAGAGCAGGCCAGTTTTTAAGCTGTCATGGTTCAAGTCTGTATCATGTGGGTTCTGTTGGATCGTTTTGTTTTTTTTTAAGATTTTTTTTTTATTGGGGAATTGGGGGAAGGAGAACAGACAAGTTGCTGTCGTTTTGTTCTTCAGTCTAGTTGTGGAGGACGTTGCCTCACTGCCCCAAGTTGGCACCTTCATTGTGCTCTTCCTGGGCGAGGCAGATCAGTCGCTGGCTTCTGGACGGCCACTCACTGCGGCTGCTGGCCGCTCACACTCTACTGGCTACACACGGTAGCCCATGGCAACCCACTGCCACAGAGGCTGCAGCCTACGCCGTCGCCGGCGACTCCCGGCAGCCCAACTCCAGGTTGAGCTGTTGTTCAGCATCTTAGCTGTGGAGGGCAGTGTCACTGGCCCTCATATGTGGGATCCAAATCGGGGCCCTCTGGCGTCCCAAGCCAGCTCTTAACCAATGCGCCACTTGGCCGGCACTCTGTTGGGTCTTTATGTGTCATTGTTCAGATGCCCAAATACAAGTGGATTTTGCTTTCTTTGTACCATTGCTCCCACCATAAACCAAAGTAAATCAAGAGCTGCCTACAGATGGTCTATCTGAAAGCCCAAGAGAGTTCACTAGTTAGGACAATGACTAGAACTCAGCTCTCACCCACTAAGAGGCCTCCATTTGATCCTCCATTGATAGTCAGCCTCTTGGGAGACGTGTAGCCTTCCTTGATAAGATATTCAGCAGCACACTGAAAGTCATCAAAGCAGTTCTGTTTGTTGGACAAGATACCGCCTACAGTGTGCCAAAGTGAAACACAGTTAATTAACAAAACAACATTATCTCCCCCACCCCCACCACCACAGACTCATACGTAAAGGGAACTCAAATGATAAAGGGAATACTTTCAACTACTGATCAATGCAAACTCAATGGGCTAACACTACGTTTAGAAAAAATGCCTCATTACATTTTGGTATGCATTGTGGAAATCCATCACCAATACCACAACTGCTAATCCATACGGTGGATTTGTATTTTTCTAAGAACTCCTAGATCTTAAAAGGCAGATGCCTGGAAGGGAAAAGATGGTCTATTATGTCAGAGAACCATGAAAACGAACACGTGAGTGAATGTAATCAAAAAGAGCCTGCGTTTTGGAGAAGCTGAACTTTAGAACAAGACCTCAAGCAGCGCTCAATAATCCTGAGTTCCGCCTGGTATGTGATGGTGGGGCTGAGTGTGCTTCCCCCTTCCTGGGAAGATGAAAGCGCTTGGCAGAGGTGCACTTCTCACCCCTCTTCTTTGCAGGAGTTTGAAATGGGTAAGTGATGAGAAATAAGTCCTCCAATTTGGGTGTCGATAGGAATTAGGTGGGAAGGTGGTGCTGCAGAGAGCAGCCCATTATAGTTGTTCAACTCGTGACTGGAGAGGGTCTCACATCTCCCCAGAGAATCTGAGCCTTTTCATCTCAAAGTCATTCCAACGTATAAAACCCACACAAAGCCGTTACTTAAAGAGAGGAACATCTCATCTACAAGGTCTTAGCATACCTAAAAGTAAAGGCCAAACGTCAAAGTGCCCTCAAAGGAACAGATGTCTGAAATAACTGCCAGTGAAATGAAGAGAATGCAGACAGATCTAACCAGACATTTGAGATGAACCACTTTGGCAGCAATTCGATTAAAGATCAAGCAATGCTTCTAAAGAAATTTTTTTCGTATCAAAACAAATGTTAAGATTTTAATAAGAAATTATTGGGGAATTAGAACAGCTAGGATGACAGTGTCCAGGAATAATATCATTTGGGGTATATGACTATTTTTTAAAGAGCCTTAAATTCTAAACTCAATTAACAGAATGGAATTTGGATTTATCAGTGTTCAGTATAGTAGGGTCTAACTGGAAAAGGTTCATTTCTGGTCCTTTCACTGCCTACATTTGGACAAAGTTTATCAATCAGTCCAAACGCAGCCTACTTTTAACCTCAGTCAAGCTCCAAATTTCTCAAGGCTTTTGGACAATAAATTGGTTCTAATTAATAGAGATGAGAGAGGGGTGACCAGGACCAAAGGCACTCTGTTCTTTGAGAGCATGGTGGGCACCTGAACACCGGAGGAGTTTTATAAAGAAGAGTCCAAATTCTTTGAGGATAAGACCACAGGCTCAGGTAGGTTTGTATTTGAGTGTGTACACCACCACTATTTTAACTAGGAAATCAGGCAAGTCAAGGAGTCCAGACTTAGCACATGGATTTGGGATATAAATCAAATATATGGTATACAGAGATTCTATTCTTAGTCTCTATCAGTCATTTCTTATCATAATTTCCTAGTATGATTTTAATGTAACTAAATTCTAATATCAGGTACAAGTCAAAATTATAAAATGAAATCTGTGCTGTTTCAAATACAATGACAACTGGGCGAGAGGATCCAAGATGGCAGAATCGATAAACACTGTGCTTGCCAAATATAATGACAATTGATGAAGTCTTTGAGGATGACAGGACAGAGGTCAACTAATGACAGCAGGCAGGCCCGAAGCCCATGTATCGATCAGGAACACTCACTCTTGCTAAGATGCTCATAGTCTGTCATCTGATATCAGCCCTTGGGCCCATGCTGGAGGCCCGGGGGTCAGGCCTGGGCCTTTCCTATATCTTGACGCCTAACAGGTACTTATAAAAAAATCTCTTTGCAGATTTACAGTCATCTTTGTTGATTTGATTTGATGCAGAAAACCTGAGCCTTTGGCCTCAGGATCAGGAAGGCAGAGAACAAGTGGATGTCCAGATCTGAAGGGTGGTCTCTGACATTCCTACTGTGGGAGAAGACCCCTCTCGCCTGGTGCTGCTTACTAACCCCAAGCACTGGTGGCTACCTTTGTCCCAGGAGACCTTCTTATAAATGATGGCTGATGATGCGAGAGGGGAGGAGCATGGAGCTGGTGGGAGTGAAGGTCCTTTCCCATATCCTCCTCCAGGGGATACAGGAATAGGGACACAAGAACATCTTCAGTCTATTGGTTGGTCTAAGAATTCCAAATACACAAAAGCCTAGGAGAGGGCGTGTGCTCCATAAGTATATAAAAAATGGGAGAGAGAGGGCTTTAAAAATATTGTCACTTTAAGAATGATAATCCAGGAAAGAAGTTGAGTACAGAAGCAATATCATCAATCAACTAGAGTACATGCTTCAAGGAGGCCAGGGAATGGAGACTGAATCATTAATACCAGAAAAGAAAAATGACTGAGTTCTTGTTTCTAAAACCTACACATGACAGAGACACAGCAGCAATGCTAGGAAAACACTCGTACTCAGCAATGCTGGAGAAATTCGAGAAAACAAGCAAAAGGCGGCTCACACTGGGAACAGGAAAGCTCTATTTTAGGTTGCTTTTTTTCTTTTAAGAGAAAATGACCTGTTTGGAGATCGCCCAATAATGCTGAATAGTAAGTAAGGAACTAGGCTAACAGGAGACAGAATAAATTCTAAAAAGTACCTCCCAGGTTCACTTCTGACAGTGATAGATAAAACTCTACCCCCATGCATTGCTAAAAAAACAAACAATTTTGATTACAGGCTATAGTGAATGCTTCTGAAAAATAGGTACTTCACTGAACAGACGACAAAGGAAAATAAAAGATGAAAAGACAAAGTTGTTTTTAAAGGGGGAGTGGTGTCTACAATGTGTTTGAAAATACCCTTGTTTTTCATCGTCTAGTCAAAATGCTTTTCTGTTCCTCACTCCCCTTAGCTCGTTCAAACACAGCTTTGACTATGCCGTATTCGTGTTTTCTGTAGAGAAAATACCTTTATGCCACGTCTCTCCGTATTCACCACCTCCCCTGATGTTGGCCACGGCAAGGACGCCACCCATGTGTCTCACAAAGATGAGCCTGGAAACACTGAGAAACAGAACAATAGCCTTCCATTAACTGCCTTGTGAGGACCATACTATTCTCCTGCCATCTCAAAAAAAAAAAACACAAAAAACAAACAAAAACCCCAGAAAACACTCCATGTGTAATATTTACATTGGAGCCCAGTATTCTTATATTACTTGATTAAAGTAAAAAATACGTAACATGAATATTTAATTGCAAAGCTCATACATTTTCATGAACATTCAGTATATATCATTTTTCTATATTGGTAAATATTTCACTATACAAAGTGGAAATACAAAATTCATAATGCAAACAGAGAAGAAACCAGAGGCCCTCAGTTCATACTGAATCTACCTTTTACCAACTATCTTGGTAAGCAAAATACTGCCAGCCATGTGACACAGCCCTGGTGTGAATGGTGTTGGACTCATAGGAACACCCAATAACGGCCCCTGCTACCATTTTTTTGCTATTAATATCTCTCTTCAAATTGTTCAAGTTAGAAAAAAAGCTCTTTCCAAAACATGGGTTTTAAACAGGTTTTCCAGTTTCACAGAAACTTAGATGTTAAACTAGACAATACAGGGTGAGAAAGAGGGAAAGAGAAGGACACAGACTGGAAAATAAGAATGCAGAGGCCAGGGACGGAGAACGTTTTCTAGAAATAAACAGAAGAAACAACAGCACAAAGCTTCTAGGAAAAAGAAGACCTTTGGAAGACTTGGACTTTATGTTTTTATCCTCTTTCCACTCTGATCCTAAAAATGCTGAGTAACATTTATTTTTCTATCTGCTGTCAAAATTAATTTGTCATTGATAACTATTTCTGAGAATTTTATCTTTCTTCCTTCAGTAACTGGGGAAACCATGAGCTTCTGCAACCTGGGGCTCTAGGCGGCCTGAGAGTTCGTTTCCTAGATCTCGGGGCTCAAGAGGAAAGGAGAGTCGGGGAGCTGATGAGACACACAGCCACACCAGATTGGCCCAACAGATTTTCAGTCACTTGGGTCTTTTTAAAAATGTTTTTCATTCACCTCTAATGGTCTCTACTGAAACTACCAACATATTCACTGGGATCTGGGGTGAAAATGGTACAGGAGCCTTTCCTTACTCATCTCCTGATGCCCAACACAGCACGCTTAATAAATACTGGTTGCACAAATCAACAAAGACAAGTGGCTTCAGCTACAGACCTGCTCAGGAACCAGCATCGTCGTGATCCTAGCCACCCTGTGGGGATCAGGGGAATGGGGCTCAAGGGACAGGTCTCTGACTTGTTCATTAGATGAAGCACGTGTTCACTGGCCCCACATTCAAGCCTCACTGTGACTTGAAACTGAAGCGTGTATTTCATCACGTTGATAAGAGAGGCAAACCATGACACACTCTATTTTTTGTTGTAAAGATTAGATGGATCTAAGGAAGCAACAGCTGCCGGCTTGCATCCTTAGACTAATAGCCACAGAGAATAAATAGGGCCTATAGACGTACCAATGGAACAGTGACTGTCATTGCCTGGGAAACTCTGGTAAGAGATGGGAAGCCCACCTGTGGGCTCAGGCCTTGCCTAGGATGGTACTCAGTATAGAGGAGGCATTATCAAATGTAAATCAGCTATCACTGTACAATGAGCGAACAGCCACCACTGATACACTCTTGTCACTAGTTGCCCTTCAATTTAATCATATAATGATGCCTTATAAATCTTCTGAAAATATTGTTCTACATGATGATTGTACACCTTCATAAGCTCCTAACAAAAGGATAAAAATCAAATTCTTTGGTCAGATATTCAAGACAGTCCACAATTTGGCTATCAACCACTTTAAGGGCAGGAGCTATGTTTCAGACGTCATTAAAACCTATATAAGGAGCAGAGTGATTTACTGATGTCAGGTACTCTAAACAAAGTTAACAGTTTCCTTGTATGTAAATTTAGGACAGCTGGTGGAATCGACTCTGCATGTATGTCCTGATAGTCACCAGCCCATGAATTTCTTCCCAAACAGGAAAGATGAATCTGTGAATCAGATTTCACAGGAAGTACTATTTAAAAGTTGGTTTGACGCTGGTCTTGCTGACAGGAGACTCCTTGCTTTTATTAAAAATGCTCACAGCAAATCCCATTTTATACTATGAATGGAATATTAAAATCAAGTTTACAAATAACTGACAGAAGATATTTATATAAACATTATCATATGTATCAATTTAGATTTTTTTCCCCTGAACATAAGTTACTGGGAAATAATCCCACAACAGTTTAAAGTGAAGTAAGAGAGTAGACGGAAAATATATTTATGGCTGAATGTTAAGACAGTCTATTTGAAAACTCTGTGCTGCCAAAAAATGTAATTCTTAGTTGAAAAATCATTCCTTCTGAAGAGAGCACTGAGGGCAGTGGGGTGGTAGCAAATGACTAACCTAAAGGTAGGAGCGTTCCTTCTTCAAGGCTCCGCTGACACTAACCTGTAGCCTGGCAGCTGTAGCTTCAGCGTTCAGTTCCCAAACAGCCTACTCCATTGAAGACACAAGTTTAGCTTGTAATGATCCTGAAATTCCTGACTCAAAATGCAAGTACTTAGCACATAACCCTGCCCCTCCATGAAAACGACAAGATTTAGTAGACTGGTCTCTGGTTTCTTTCCACCGTACGGAGAGGATCAAATGCGTGCTGAAGTGCCATGAGCGTTCCGTGCTTACCTGTAATTGGGGGTGATTGATATATTGAAGCCGCCATAGCCATATAAGAAAGCAGGATGAGAGCCGTCCAATTTTATGCCCTTTTTATGTACAATGAACATTGGAATCTTCGTACCATCCTTGCTAGGGTAGAAAATCTAGAACAAAAGAGAGCGTAATAGAGTTGGCATTGCTTAGTAAACACCTGCATGCTTTTTACACGGGAAACATACAGGCAGTCAGTTCTTCAAGATGTAGAGTAGCACAGGGGAAATCCAGTACCTCTGTGGCTATTTGATGGTGGAGCATCTTTCAGTTTTTATGGAGACAGTATGGGTCTGAAATAGGGAGACTTGAATTTGAATTCTTATTCTACGACTCTCTAGCTAGGTGACCCTGGCATGCTGTTTATCCTCCTGCAGCCTCAGCTGTTCATCCCTGAAATGTGGCCCCCACGCCCACCTCTCAGGGCCTTCTGCGGCACACAGAAAACACACTGGTTTTCCACTTTCAGCATCGAAAAAAGTCACATTTGGCCATCCTGCCAAATAATTCAATCTAGGGAGATTTCTTTTCTAGAAAACAAATTTCGTATTCAACTTTCTCTCTAAATGTTAAGATACTTGACTCTCCTTCATTTTGCTATGTTCAACTATATAAGTAAACGTTAGCAACAAGAAAACATGTATTAGCTTAGGGAGTTGATGACAAACAACATAGAGAGACTATTATTCCTGGTCAAAGACTTTCTCCTGTATTTTTAATTAAGGCTCATCAAACCTTGAATCTGGGCAACCTCAGACAAGTTGAATCAACATTCTATATTCATCATTTTTTGGTTAAAGGAATGAGAGAAAAAGAGAAAGAGAACATTAAATGATATTCAAATGACAAGCCACAGAATAAGTGATAAGCTACCAAAAGCTGATAATAATGGCTTCTTCTAGACAGAAAATGTGTAAATAGCTTTCTCTTTGGGCAAACATGGTGTCTTTACCCAACCAACACCTGGAAAGTACTCAACTCAGAATTGTCTTACTGACTTCATCTGTTACAGTCAAGGACATTAAGCCTTTACAGTTAGTGTAATTTGCAGCCATATTATATCCAAAGCTTTTAAAAGTAGCATTTCTATTGTAGGAAGATGCTACAAAGTGCTTGGAAATAAACAGTGGGGGGCAGGGAGGGGAGAGGGAAGAGGCTATGCAGATTTGGAAAAAGGCACAACAGAGCCACAATAAATGCTTGCAAGTCTGGAAATTTTGGAAGCCTGCCATGAAATTGTAGTAGAAAAAGCATTTGTTTATGACTTGGAGAGAAATACTGAGATGTATAAATGTGACAGTTTAGGAATCAAGGAGAGTACTTTGTAGAGGTCAAAATTATCTGAGGGACCACAGTTTTATTTAAAGATACTTAGTGGCAGTTAGTTCCTAACAGAGTGTGACTGCGTGGGAGGTACAAGTAAATGCAGAGTAAGAGGAACGCGTTTCAAGTGACTGGCTGGAACTAATAGCTAAAATCCAGGGCCTTCGCTAAGACTTGGGGAGAATATGGATCACATGAACCACAGCATCACAGAAGCAGGGAGCAGCCTGGCTCACAGATTCTCCCTTAACTGAGTCAGCTGTTCACAAAATAGTGTTTCCTGCAGTCACTTCCCACATACCCTCAAATGCCCACGCTGGCACCTAATCCCTCTCCCGCCAGCTCACCCTCTGCAGGCAACGCCCTCCTCTGCACCCTTCACCCAGTCAGCAGGACTGATGCACCTCTAGTCCCCACTAAACTAACTCAGATCCTCCTCCTGTGTGCAGAGTGCTCCATCTTGCTGCTTTGTGAGTCTGGCTTCCTGCTCTGGCACCACTTTTCTTGCGACCACCTGTAGGGTTTCCAGTGTCTGCGAGTGGATCTGCAATGCTCCCATCTGGACCCAGGACAAGGCATCCTTTTACAATACCAAAGCACAAAAGTCCCCTCTATGCCTGAAGCTGCAAAAATATGTCCAAGCTTTAAGCTGGTGTGGTTCAGATGTTACTTTAACATTCTGAAAACTAACTGTCCTCAAGTGAAAGGGCACTGTGAAGATGATTACAATAAATCATCTTCAAGAAAACTCTTTACAAGTAGGCTATTTCAGTCTTGAAATAAACACACATCATATATACATTATATATATTATCAAATTACACACACACACACACTCATATATATTATATATATATACACACACACACATATGCATGCACACAGCAGTATTCTTTGCCATTTCTAAACCTTAACCTGACTTCAATAAAGGACAAACTGAATCCTGAGTCTTTTTGAATAACTATGGCAGGAATCTATGTGGACATTTTAGAAACAGTAATTAAAATAGCCTCGCCATTTTCCATCATGCACTTTCTACTTCTTTGATTTAACTGAAATTGGTTTCCTCTTGCAACCACTTCCTTCAAAACTTTAAGAGGCTCTACAGGTATTTTCTTTCCCACTGCCCTGGATTTGCTCGGTTATTGGAGAAGCTGGAAAATTCCTCATTTCCATTTGGTCCCCAAACCGGGCCAAACCAGACAGCTCCACTTCAGAATCTACACCTGGAGTCCTTGACCCTGATGAGGTGGGCCCACACATCAGTGACAAACATGTTAAAAATACATTTTCCCCGAACCTGCAGATCTAGTCCATCTCCTATCTACTCTGATGCAGATGGATACAGACTCAAAAAACCGGTCACACCATTAGATTTCATCACTCTCTCTATCCTCATCAATTAATATCAACTAAAACCAGTTATTTTCCTACAATCCTTGACAATTTCAATATGGGACTCTCTACTTCTCCTTAATCCAGTTCTACAATTTTCTTTAGTGACTTTATCAATGCAATTGATGGCCTGCCCAACAACATCCTGACCTTCAGAGGCTTAAATGCCTCAATGTCAAGACCTTTGCTTCCTTCCACCCTCCCCTATCCACTTGTTCATTCAAATATTTGCAGATATAGGCACTGCGCTAAGCACTGGAGGCATAAAGACGAACAAGACCTGGATAATTCCTTTCCTCATGGGCCTTGAAGTCTAAGGAGACAAACCAACAGGCGTTGCCAACACCCACTGCACTGACCACATGTTGGCGCTTAGAATTCCAAGCTCTTCTGCAAGGAACTCTGACACTGTCCCTGGGACTCCAATTTGTTCTTTCAGCCCCTCCTTCCGTGCCTTACTCCTGGGGCATCTGCTGCTGCTTCTTTGTTTTAAACTCTTATTGTGACATTCTTCAATATAGAGTTAATACACA